AGGCACTCTGGCGAGAAATGTTCGTGTCCCAAGCAGCTGCTCAACTGCTGAGCCGAACGCCCGCCCCGGACAGACATTCTCATACTTCTGAAACTCCTCTTGGAAAGAGAGCTTAACAATGACATTGTGTCCGCTAAGAGAGGAATTGAAATAACTTGCAAATGGAGAAGGCTTTGTGTGGAGACAGTGCTGGAAACTCAAGTCATTCTAACGTGGAAGACACACCAACTATGAAATTATGTTAACAGCACACAGTGGTTGCAACATGCAGAGACAGTGTAACAATGAGTAACAAAAGCCAGGAGGCAGGGTCAGGGGGTGAAGAGAATCAGCACCGCTAATTTTTCAAAGCAGTGAACACACACACACTCATATATAATTGAAAAGGGTAATTTAAGAAATGACTAACCTCTTAAAGTTTTTCACAATGTTTGTTTAACCTCAGAGGTACCTTTCAGGAAGTAGTATCTCTGTGGTCAAGAAACATTCTTAGAAGTTGAGCTCTTCCTTTAGTTTCACTTCAACTTTCTTTTTCTTTTTTATAGTCAATTAAAACTTCATTTAACACTGTGTATGTAAGTAGCATCTGTATTATAGTCTGAATTCTTTTAACATTTCTCCGTTATCTTTCTTCCTACCTGAAACCATACCTGGAAAGCGATGATGATGGTCATTCCTGGGTGTTGGGAGTTGGATACTGTACACCTTTCTGTGTTAAAGTGCACATGTACCATTTTTATAAAACCAGGCAATTTTTCAATAAAAGGGATAGGTAGGCTAAGAAATGATCTCTGCTTCACTGTGGATGCTCTTAAATTATTTATTTATTTATCTTATTTACGAGAGAGAGAGAGAGAGAGAGAGAGAGAGAGAGAGAACTTCTACCTGCTGGTTTATTCCAGGTTTCCTACCTGGGTGGCAGGGACCCAACCATTTGAGCTTTCCCCGCCGCTTCTCAGGAAGCCAGAACTGGGAATGGAGCTGGGACTCAAATTCAGGAGCTGCAATATGAGATGCCCCGTCCCCAGGTGGGTGTCTCAATCGCTAGGCCAAATGCCCGCCTCTGGGGTTATTGGGAGTGGTGGTAGACAGATGATTATGTTCTTGTTGTCATTTTTAAACATGTTTTAATGTTCCAACAAATAAATAAAAATGTTGAGTATTAGAAAAGAAATTCTTTTCATGGAGCAGAATAAACAGCCCAGAAAAAAACTTGGCAGGGATTGCTTTGTCTCCCAAGGTCTGCTCTCCTCTGTGACTATTTTAGGAATTTTTAGCTGCACCTGATGGCCACGCCCCATTTCCCAGCTCTGGCCAATAGGGTGTAAGCAGAAGGGCCAAGTGGCAGCTCCTGGAATTCTTTGAGACTGTGTGTTCATTTTATCTATTTCCATTCTCCCTTGCTCTCTGGAATACAGAAAGCATTATATTGCACCGTGAGGGCCAGGCCAGTCATTATCAAGCAGCAAGACGGAAACTGTGCAGAGAGGCAGGTAAACCCTGGACTGCTGCCTCAGTGGTGTCAGGAAGAGATTTCGAGGGGCATTTGGCTTTGTGGTTAAGGTGCTGTGTAAGACGCCCGCGTCCCACGTCAGAATGCCTCAGTCTGGCTCCTGGCTCTGGCTCCTGGCTCTGGCTCCTGTCTCTGGCTCCTGACTCCAGCTTCCTGCTAATGCACGCCCTGAAGGGCAGCAGATGCTTGGAGGCAGTCAAGTACTTGGGTCCCCGCTGCCTCCTGGCATTAGCCTGGCCCCAGCCCTGACTGTGGCCAGCATTCGGGAGTAAACCACAGATCGGTGTGCTCGCTCTCTCTATCTCGCCCTCTCCCTCTCTGGTTACAAAAAGAAAGAGGGAAATAAGTAAATACATTTCTGTCTTGTTGAGCCAAAGAAGCCTAATCCTAATGAGCATGAAACCTACACACACACACACACACACACACACACACAGAAGGAAATTTATTCTGTGGTGCTGTTTGCATTGTATACCAGTGGGGAAAGATGAAACAAACAGTCCAGCATATATACATAACATGATGAACTTGTTAAAATTCTGTAGGAAATACAAATAGAGTATGTGTATGGGGGCCGGCGCTGTGGCATAGCAGGCTAAGCCTTCACCTGCGGCACCAGCATCCCTTTTGGGCACTGGTTCATATCCTGGCTGCTCCAGTTCCAATCTAGCTCTCTGCTATAGCTTGGGAAAGCAGTAGAAGTTGGCCCAAGTGCTTGGGCCCCTGCACCTGTGTAGGAGACCAGGAGGAAGCTCCTGGCTCCTGGCTTCAGATGGGCCCAGCTCTGCTCGTTTTGGCCATATGGGGATAGAAGACCTCTTTCTCTGTTTCTCCTTCTCTGTCTGTAACTCTGCCTTTCAAATAAATAAACCTTAAAAAAGAAAAAAGAATGTATGAACTTGAGCTAGGAAAGGATCTTTTTTTAAGAGGGTGACAACTATAAAGAAAAGAACAGAGAAACTAAAAAATGTTAAACTCGTATGATAAAAAAGAAACTGTAAACAAAATTTAGAGGTGAGCAAGAGCCCAGGAGGGAGGTGTGCGGTGTTCAGATTCAGAGTGGGGTGTGTGTTGGGGGTGGGTCAGCCAAGTTGGGGGAGAGGCTGCAAAGTCTTCCCTCTTCTCGAATGGTGAGGATGCACATTAGCTAACCCGGAGCTCTGAGGGCTTCTACGGAAAGCTTTTTGCTATGTGGAACTCTGCATTCCCAGGGTGACTTGACTGTGGCTCCGATCTCCAGGTGTGAGATCTAGGGACTTCCCCTCGCTGTATAAGGAACACTCGGAAACGCTGCCGTAAGAAATAGCTCTTTACCATGCGAGAGAACACTGCTACCTTCACTTTTTGAGACCCTTCTCATTCTTCCAGAAGTTCTGACACCAGTAGCACAAAATGGAATAATAATCCTAGTGATAATGAAATGTGAGGTTTGGAGAATCAGAGAAAATTCTCCTGGTAGAGTAAACAAATCCCAAGAGAAGAAAGTCAGGAGCCATCCAGGCTTTTCCTACTTCTAGCCACTGGCTCGGAGTGCTAGAAGTAGATGTTCTGAAATAGGCCGACTCGGAATAAAAGACAGTCTTAAAGATGATCTAGAGGGGTCAACTCTGCGGTGCAGCAGGTTAAGACTGTGTGGCTCAAGCATCCCATGTGGAAGCGCCAGCTGCAGTGCCAGCTGCTCCACTTCTGATGCGGCTTCCTGCTCGTGTGACTGGGAAGGCAGTGGAAGATGGCTCAAGTGTTGGGTCCCTGTCACCCAGCTGGAAGACCTGCATGGAGCTCCTGGCTTCCAGCTTCAGCCTGGCCCAGCCCTGGCCCAGCCCTGGCTGTTTCAGCCTTCGGGGAGTGAACCAGTGGGTGCACAACCTCTCTTCTCTCTCTGTAACTCTACTTTTCAACTCAATCAGTCAAGCAATATTTTTCCAAGATCTTCTAGGCCAGATCTCAGGGAGCTGTGATGTAGAAAATGGCGGTTGGGTGTGGTTTCTCACTAGTTATAGGGAAAGAAGAAGGAAAGGGCAGATAGGGGGCGCGAGATGGAATCGCGTGCACTGCCCACATGGTGTCTGGCCTCTGACATGAAGGGCCTCCGGAGTCTGGAGAGAGAGCTTGTATTAAGCATTCTGTTTCAACTACATTTTAAAGCCCTGTACTTATTTTATCTCTTTTAATCCGGTGACATAGGCACTATAATTACGGTCATTTTTAGGATAAGGAAGGGGAGTCACAGTTAACTAACTTGCCCAACTAGGATTAAAAGGCTAGCAAGGGGTGGAGACGGGATTCCCCCCAGAGAGGCCTGCTGCAGATCTGGCTTCCATGCCCACCGCCCTGGCCGTGTGGGCCGATTCTGGTGGGTTACTACAGCCAGCCCACGAAACAGCTTGCTGGAGCAAGGGGCGAGACACGGGACTGCCAGGAGAGAGTGGCGGGAGCTGGGGCCGCCGCCACCAGGACACACAGCTAGTGCGAGGGCAGAGGAAGGACAGAGATGGTCAGCGGCCCACAGCCAGGGCAGGGCAGGGCAGGGCAGGGCGGGCCCTCCTCCGGTGTGGCGAGCCCAGTGCTGGTCTCTAGGTTCCTGGGAAGGTTCCTTCCTAGAGGAAGGAGGGTTGCTCCTCGCGGGGATATTGGGGGTGTGGTGCAGGCGTGGAGGGTGGGCTGCCTGGGATGAGGCCTTGTGGAGGAGGTAAGGCCAGATTTTGCCCCATCCCCAAGAGAGAAAAGAGGGGTAGGGGGAGAAAAGAGAGATTTCCTGGATTTGGGAGCTGGAGTTTGGATGGACACGCAGCACGGAGGAGGGCGCGGCGCCCCCGGGGGCCTCGGATTGGCACGTCGGGTCGTGCCCCTGCTGAGGCAATGGGCATGCACTGGGAGCCGTGGTGCCCCGACCCCAGGCCCCGGGCAGGCGCGGCGCTAGCGGCGTGCAGTCTGCCGTCCCGAGCGTCGAGCGCGCGTTTCCAGTGCCTGGACCGCGCGTCCTGCTCATTCCTTGCGCAAGGAGCCGCAGATTGGTCCCTCGCCCGGGAAGGCCGCCCGGCCGGACGCGCGGGTCCCGCCCGAGTTCCCGCCCTAGCTCGGGCCAGAGCATCAGGTGGGGCCCAGGGCTGGCGCAGACCAGGCTGAGGCGGCCTTTCCCGGCGCCGCCCAGCCGCCCGTCGACCCCCGGGCCACTTGCAGACTCGTTCCGTGGAGGCGGCGCCAGCGGCTCCCCACGCAGCGCGCGCCTTAGCGCGAGGCCCCGACACCCCTAGGCCGGCCTGGGCCCGGGCTCCTCGGGACACACGGCGGTCCCCTGGCCCCCGGCCCCCGACCCGCGGACTACAAGTCCCAGCAGCTCCGCCGCGGGCGCGCTCCCCGCGCGAAGACCCCCGGCCGTCCGAGCAGCGGGGCCCCGGCTGCGCTCGCTCGGGGCCGGGCCGGGCCGGGCGGGGAGGCCGGTCCCGCGAGCGGGGGCGGGGGCGGCTCCGCGGCTTCTCCCGCCGCCGCCGCCAAGGGGAGTTTCCAGGAAGTGGCCATATTGGATCCATTCAGCCGCAGCCGCCCGGGCGGAGCGCGTCCCGCAGCCGGCTCGTCTCCGTCGCGGCCCCGGCGCTTGCTCCAGCCCGGCCGCCCGGCGCGAGCTTGCCATGGCGGCCACGGACCTGGAACGCTGCTCGGTGAGGGCCACGCGGCGCGGGAGAGCGCCCTGCGGGGTCGGGGCGCGCGGCGGGCTGTCAGCGGGGCGGAGGGCGGGGGTCGCGCCCTCGGGCGCGGGCGAGGCAAACCCAGTTCGCGGGAAGACGCAGAGACCCGCCGGGCCCCGGGCAGGTGCGAAGCCGGACTGCAGCTCCACAGGCTGGGGGAGGATGCGGGACACCCCGACCCGCGTCGCCCCAGGGTGCTGCTTTCGGCACCGCGGGGGCGATCGCTGGCCGCGCAGGTGCTGTTGGCTGGACACGGCAGGTGAGGATGCAGCCCCTAGGACCAAGGGAGGCCGCCCGGAGAGCTCAGGGCAGTTGCGGGCTTGGGTCCTGAGGCTCCTGGGCCTGCTTTTCCTATCTGGACCGAACCCTCGCTCCTGATCCCCGCAGCCGGATCCTGGGTGCGACTCCAGACAGGGCAGGCCTCAGTGGTCGGATCTGCGGCAGCCATTCCCGGGGAACTGAGCCGGTCCGGAGCCCGCCCTGTGCGCGTTTGTCTGGGTGCCCGTTGGGGTCTGCCCTCTCTGTGGCTGACATCCCTGGCGGTCCCTGCAGGGGTCTCTCTGAACTCCTGCCAGTCCAGAGCCAACTTCCTAAAGGTTCCGTAATCCCCCTGGGGAGAGAGGCCCTGGGGGAGTTGTGTCTGTTCGTCCTCTGGCGTCTAGGGCTGGATCTGGGTGTGTCTGGGATGTTCTGCCGTGACAGCGAAGGAGCTGGGTCCAGTGCCAGCCTGCGAGGCCCTGGGTGGACCTAGGGGAGGCAGGCCTGGGGCTTTTGGGGGGAAGGTAGGGGGTTCTGAATGTGTGACTGATAAGAAATGGGTTCTGAGGCTAAATGAGGGATCCAGGGACTTATGTAATTAATGCTATAAATACTGTCATCTGAATTTATATATGTAAATTTCCCCTTTAATCTGAAAATACATTTGTTGTTCTACTTTGGAAGTGCGTGTCGCTGAAGCAGGAGCCCGTGGTTTCATCATTTCCAGGCTGGTGTTTTGTTCCAGCGGGGGAGAGGGCTGTGTGTCGGCCAAGTCAGTTAGAATACCTGGCAGGGTCCAGGAGGGGGCTCATTAGAGGCTGCCTTCACCCCTGTGCTGGACCCCTGGGCAGCACCTGAGTCCCGCCCCCCAGCTGGAGGCTGGAAGACCCCGGGGTGCCCGAGCTGCCTGTGTGTGTCTGGCCGGCCGAGCAGAAAGTTATCTGTGGGTCTTGTCTGTGGCCGGCCGGTTGTTCTGCAGGTGGGAATGGTATGTGGAGCAACCAGAATCAGGCCGCCTGATTTGAATCCTAGATGCTGCTTGTTGGCCATGTGACCTTGGGCAAGTTCTTTAACCCCTCAGTGTTCTCATCTGTTCAATGGGATAAAAATACTGCCGCCCTCCTGGGGTTGTGGTTGAGGATTCAATGAGAGACTGCAGGTGAGGGACTGAGAGCGGGGCCTGGCGTGCATGTGGACGGGAAGGTGGCCCTGCATGGCAGGCGGCAGCAGAGAGCAGGTTCACCCCGTTGCATGGCAGTCTCCATGTGGGCTCCTGTCCAGAGATGGTCCTCACAGCATCAGCAGAGGCCCCTGCCTGCCAGGCTGTGGGCTTAGGGGGGAGGCCTCCTTCAGCCCCCTGTGTCTGCCCCTGCGTTGTTTCTGTGAGGGGTTTGGATGTTATCCACATGGTGTATCCAGACCCAGAGAGGGCACTGCCTTGGGGAAGGGTGTGGTGCCGGGGTCAGGGGACTTGGGCTCAGTGTCAGGCTAAGCCAGAGGAATGGACACCATCCACGCCCGCCACACTCTGGGCCAGCGGTGTCCTGGGAGGACTTGGGTGGGGACCTCGGGTGGAGTCTGGCCTGAATTTCAGGGTCTGGACTGTGTTCTCCCCTCCTGGCATGTTGTCCTGGGAAAGTTCTCCCTTTCTTGCTTTAGGGCAGGCACACAGGCCTGTTCTGGAAAGTGCCTTCTGTGGCCTGGTGCTGCATGTTTGGAGCTCAGGGGTCAGAGCACCCTGGGAAGGTTGGCAGCCGTCCCGAGACCTGCGGCGCACAGAAGCACACGCGTCACGCTTCGGGATGGAGCTGTTCTGGGCTTCCGTGTCCCCACGTGATGTGATGCCCTGGGCCCAGCTCAGGCCTCCTCAGGACCGGTGTCGTCTCTGTGCGTGCTGGGCCCTCTGGCAACTTTGTTCGCCCTGTGGACCGCTGGGCTCCTGTCTGCTCTTGCTCTGTGCCTCCTCCTTGCTGAGACCCCGATGCTGAGGCCCCCTTTCTGCCTGCAGGGCCAGCTCCTGTGTTGCCCCTGTCCGTCTCAGGGTGAGGGGCATGAAGCTGCGGGGGCCGAGGAGGAAGTATGCGGCAGGGCAGCCGCCTGCCTGGCCTTCTGCCCGGCCCGTCACGTACCCCCCGTCTCTGCTTATCCCCAGCACCATCTGTCAGTTTCCTGAGACGCGGACTCTCCTGGCAGGGCCGTGGGAGGCAGCGTCTCGCCCAGGGGGCTCAGCCTCTTTCAGAGCGTGGTGGGAGATGACCACTAACCGCCTTGCAGAGCCATTCTAAAGGCGAAAGGAGAGCTGAGCGAGATGGCTGTGCAGCTCTCTGGGCCTGGTGGCGCTGGGGACTCACTTGTGGCACCGTCTCCAGAGCTTGCACTGTGCCGCCACGCCCCAGGGGTGGGTCTGTCCTGCCCTCCCCCTCCCGGGGGCAGTGAGCCATGCCCTGGGCGCTTGCTTTGAGAAGGGCTGCTGGGATCTTAACTGGGATGGTGAGAGCTGCAGGGCCGGTGGGAAGGCATTGTTGGTACAAAGGGAGTTCACCAGAGTGGGAGCTGAGAGGGTGGCAGGAAGGACAGACTGTCAGAGTGCCTGCGGAGAGGCTGGGAGCCCAGGGCCTGGCTCTTGTCAGAGGCTTTGGTGGCAGGGCGGGCGCTGGACGCTTTGTGCCTCTTATCTTGTTGATGCCAGAGCCTGCAGGTGGGTGAGAAAGCTGATGTGGTCGTCGGCCCCAGACTCAAACCGCAGCTCTCCAGGACCCTTGAGATAACGGGGTGGATCCCTCTGAGTTCCGAGCCCGGAATGGGATAGGCGCAGGGCGACTGGGGCAGTCACTCCCACGGATGTCACTGTGGCTCGGGTCCCAGCACTGGAAGCAGTCAGCTGCAGGATGACAGAGCACAGGGCCTGGGGGTGGCCAGCCAGCTCCATGTGTCCTCTGCTGCCTCCCTGGCCTTCCTGCCTCAGTGCTACCTACTTAGGACTCAGGATCCCCAGGCAGGGGCCCCAAGGCACAAGCTTTGCCAGACACCCGGATGTGGAGCTGTGTGGGCAGGAGGGAGGCGCGTCTGCCCAGGAGAGGAACACCTGCTGACGTCAGCCTTGCTGTGGAGCTGGGTGCTCCCTGCTGGCTGCCTTGGGGCTGCCTGCATCCTCAGGACCCACGTGAGCAACCGTGACTGGGAAGAGGGTGAGGCCAAGGCAAGGGGCATTTGGGCAGCAGCTGCACATGCCCTGGGTGCCCTTGGGGCAAGTTGGATGTCCTCCTCCTCCCTGGGACGCCTGGCACCCAGCTGGTTCTTAGCCCCCATCCTGTAGGCCACGTTAGAGGGACGGAACCTGGGCAGTGAGGACCCGTGTGAGACAGGCCGTGTTCTCTGAGGGGCTTCCTGGCGAGGGCTGCCTGGAGCCCGGGGTTCTGGAAGGGCTGTGGCTGTGGAACCGAGTCCACTCTCCAACCTGGCTGTGGGCTGGGGCACGCCTGCAGCCCTGCCTGCGTGGTCGGGGCGAGGCACAAAAGTACGACCATGCTGCCCTGTGCCATGTCTGGCCATGTCGGTGCCTCTGTGTTCTCTTCCTGCCCCAGCACTGGCGTCCCTCCAGCCACCTTTGCTGCCCATGCCCCCTCCTAAGCAGGGTGGGGGTCTCGTTCACTGTGGAGTGCAGGCTGCCTCCTCCTTCCAGCAGTGTCTAGACGGCTTTTGCAAGGCGGTGGTGTTTGCCACCAGAGTCCCTGAGCCAAGCGAGGAAGGATGATGAATGCCTGGGGTTCTGGTACATTCTGTGGCCTAGAGCACCTGCCCCATCTGCTCTGTTGTGGGGTGGCTCACTCCATCTCAGGCAGTGCAGCCAAGTCCAAGAACACTCTGTGTCCTAGGCCTGGGGTTGGGGAGGTGGGCGTGGACCCAGTACCCTGTAATGTGCCCTGGGCTTCCTGGAAACCTGATTGTGCTAGGAGAAGGGGGAAACACACCATCCCAAATAAATAAGCTGCAGTCCTGACACACTGCAGAGAAAGTGTGACTTAGAGAAGGCGCCAGGGAGCAGAATGCTGGCGTCTGGAGGGGGTGGCCTCGGGTTTGCTCCCAGAGTTCCTGTTCCTTCTAGGACAGGTGGAAAGGGGACATGTGGTCTGTGAGAGTGACCGGTGGCCCAGCTGGTTTCGTGCCAGTGTTGCCTTGTACCACCAGGCTGGCGCCATGCAGACTGAGTGAGCGCTGCGTGCGTCCTCACCCACGTTTTCTCTTGCCGCCAAAGCAGAGACACTTGAGTTCCCCATGTCCTCTTGACTTGGGACAGGTAAACCCTGCCCCTGTCTTCCTCTCAGGCTTAGGGTAGCAGCTTCCCACCCTCACCCTCCCACATGCGCCCCTCTGGCTGTTTCCCGTAACCTCTGACCTGGGATTTGAGGCTGGCTGTGGAATCCTGGGACCAGAGCCTAAGCCCTTCCTGGGAAAATTCCTCAGATTCCTCTTGGGCTCAAGGACAGTTGTGCTCGTGAGACCACGGGTTCTGGCAGAGGCCTGTGCTCTGGCTATTTAAGGTCCAGGCTGCTGGGAGTAGCTGCAGCCAGGGTTGGGTGGTTCGTGTCGGGAAGGTGGGTGGAGAAGGCTCCCAGTGATGCAATGACTTGTGGGTCTGTTGCTCAATGACTTAATGGGCTTTCCCCAGGGCTGGAGCTCTCCTGGGGACTGGGTGCACAGGCCTGTGGGTGCTA